AATCGACTTGGGGTTGGTGACATATCACCGACAAAAAGTTAAAGTTTGTCTAGAGTTAAAGAAAAGTGTTTTTTCGTATTCAGCACGCTTGATAACCTGGAAAATTTTCTATTTTTAGCGAGGGGTACCGCCAAAAAGTTAAGAAAAGTTTTCAAACAAAGTGACGCAGAAAAATCTCCATCTCAATTATACAATTTTGAAAATTTTTTTTAAATTTTTGGCGGTACCCCTTGCTAAAAATAGAAAATTTTCGAGATTATCAAGTGTGCTGAATACGAAAAAGCACTTTTCTTTAACTCTAAATAAAATTTAATTTTTTGTCGGTGATATGTCACCAACCCCAAGTCGATTATACAAATTAGGGTAGATCTAACTATCTCCCACAATCGGCTGTTCAATCTAACCGTACTTAGGCAGTTAAGATACCTATTCTAACTGCCACACAATCTTCGGTACGGACAGTGAATCATGGTTTGATAAACAATCCGATTAATGATCAACATCGGCGGTACCCCTCGCTAAAAATAGAAAATTTTCCAGGTTATCAAGCGTGCTGAATACGAAAAAACACTTTTCTTTAAGTCTAGACAAACTTTAATTTTTTGTCGGTGATATGTAAAATTGCTGGTGACTATAATAATCATTATATTGATGCTGCATAAACTGTTGCTGCTGATTACGAAGGAAATCCTTATTGTAGTGTTGATAACGACCATCCAGTATTGTATTGTGTCCATTGATGGTACTAGGCCTGACATTCGATAAATCACTATACACACGATCATTTGATCTGGAAATCACTGTTTGTTCATTTTCGTTCGAGTAATTTTCATTACCAGAATCATTTAAATCATTGTTATCCAATAAATTTGTTCTATTTTTATCATAATTATCATTACGACTCTTTTGTCTTTGACTATTACGATTACTCATTCAGAAATAAATACGCAGCAACGTGACCTACACGTGCGTGAGGCCACGTATACAAAAAGGAAGAAACGGAAAACGTGATGTACGTCTTAACTGTATGAGATAAAAATGAATGACGATTATATTCGCCATGATCGATAACCTATAGCAGAGTATCAACAAATTCAGCGCTCAAACAGTTTTTAAATAAAACGCATTTAACAGAATCAAAACTTACCTTGCGTTTTTCTCAAGACTGTTTCTTAGTTTCAGGGCTTTCGCCACGTGCAAGAATTCTTGATAACGATACACTGAAGAAAGAAAATTCTTTCTTTGATTTGTAGATAACACCTGTAGCTAGGACTTGACAAAGCCCGATTTTTAAATTATGCTTCCATTTTTTATAGAAAAAAGGATTTGTAAGAAACCTTCTAAGGATTTTTCGGATTTCAGAGTTCTATTAAGCACCAAAAATCAGTAAATGAGAAACTCAAAATCGGGCTCTGTTACCTAGATGTTTACTGCAAAACAAAAAGCCGGAGTTCTGTATCATTTACCTCGGAATGAGAATTCTTGCACGTCGTAGATGCCTACTTTTGACGCTTGTTGTGACGCCCACTGACGAACAGTTATAAGTGACAAAAACAGTTACCATACTTTGACATGGTCAACATTCCGTGAAAGTTTGGTTCAGATCAGACCTACCTGGTCTGATATGGGTTTCTGACCAGGGAGGGTCTTAACGCAAAGAAAACTTCTGAAATGCAATTTTATCATGAACAGTTAAAAAAGAAAAAGCATTAGCTTTTCCAACTTCAAACACTTTTCTCCATAAAGTTATATCCGGATAAAAAGAATCCTTTTGATGGATTCTCAAGGAACATGACCGCCCGTAATTATATACTATTTTATATTATTTTATATTTTTAATTACATTTTATATTCTCGACAGACACATCTTTGATTGTCTCGCACTTATCACATCTAGCTATGCATTGTCACTTCGTGTGACCATCTTTCCACAACCAACACATTCCCTTTCTTGTTTTCTTTTTTCAATAATGATCGCTGTAGTTGCTGATCTCAAAGCAATATCATTTGAAGAGGAGGAATTCTCTTTAGTATTTTTCATATTAATTTACGTACGAGTAAGTGTAATCTTTTTCATTTCTAAACGAAATTTGTCTCGTAATAATTCAAGTTTTATTTCCATCTCATTTATCGTTTTTTGAAGAGCAACACACTATAACAGTACTTCCTCATATCGAATGCTATTTTCTCCATCTATTTTGAAAAATAGGGGGTCATGAACTGTGGAAAAGAGAGATATGTAGAAGATTTTCTTCAAACATCTGACCTTGCAAACATCCATTGAATTTTGTTAGACTTGGTTGTCCGGCTAAGTCCATCAAAATTCACAAAAGTCCAAAGTATGCTTCTTCTCATTGATTTGAGCTCATTTCCGCCCATCCCACTCCACCCTATCCTAGAGAGTTCAGATTCTGTCATGACACGCTTCTACGCTCAGTTGATTTCCAGTACATGCACTTTTATTCATCTTTTACCTAGACCGACATATATGTTTGACATACAACGGTATTTCACATAATTTTCGTAAAATGTATCCGTGACTCTCTTCTAATGCATCTTGTTGGATATTGATCACCAAAAATTTGTCAGAGTTCTTGAGAATGAGATGAGCCGATTAATTATTTATAATGTCTCTGGTCGCCACTACCGATCTGTAAGGGCCGCACGTATTCAGATGCTGCACAACTTGAACTAGACGTTCCAGTATTTTATTTCTCTCAGGTACTTGACAAGACGAAAGAAATTAAAGAAAGAAAACTAAATAAAAATTCTGCCCGAACTAGACTGGTATATAAGTGAATAAAATCTTTTGAAAAACGATTTACTCAATAAATTCTTTGGAAAGTCAACAACTTGTGCATTTTATTTTGTATCGAAATATGCACCATCAATATTCATAAATAACAAGTGGAGATGCAGATGACGCGGCTAAAAAGTAGTATTTATATTTGGATGCTTTTCCGCTTATTGTACGGCTTGTTGAATAGGTTGCCAACAATTGACCATTACTGGTTATGACAATGGCAGTTGTTAAGGCAAATGGATGATCATATAAACGCGCTGAAGCGTCAACAAACACTGTATTGTCATTATGCATATACGAGCTTGCATTTGAACTTAATGGAACGAGTACCGATGAACTGTTTCGCAGGTCCATCGTTTGTAATAATCCATTAGAAGCTGTTATAATTAATTGATCGTTGATAATGGCACAGTCTCGAGACTGATTAGTCGTCGGTGAATAACTAAATATTTGTTGACTATTTGACTTGTTATAAACATCGAACCGCGGATAGTTAGGTAACACCAACAATATGGTGTTGACCAATACACATACGATAATAGGGATACATTGCTGGAATAGTCATTGATGTATTTGTTACAGAGTTATAAACAAAGATGCCGTTTGAACCACCAGATACATAATAATTGTTCATCATGTCTATTCTGAGCGATTTTGAATTCGATGGAACAACAACTGATTTTATTTGATCATACGTATCAATACTGTACATATAAACTCTTGGTCCGGATAGTACGTGCACTCTACCATTCGTCATTTCAAACGCCTCAGATGTTATGTTTGTCGTGTTTTTTACCAGTTTCATGTTATTAAGGGCAAACGCGACAGTGACTGGCGGTTTTTGAGGTGTACCGAAACAAATGTATTCTGGTTCCGCATAATTATCTGGACACAATTTAAAACTAATGACAGTAATTAACGATGAAGTGGGAATGAGCTGACCAACGTAAGAATATTCTTCTGCCAACAGGCAAGTATTTTCTACAAAATTGAATACCGCTGTACGACAAAAATCGTTACCGTGACATTGATCGACACAAGAACGAAGGTTATTGGCAAATAATGTTTGATGGAGACCTGCTGCGTTACCTAATATGTAATCGTTATTAGCGTGTAGTTTAACGTACGCTGTACGCTGTGTAATTGTCTGGCAGGATAATGTTATCACAAGGCCTACAAGAATAAATGTAATATTTAGAAACATTGTACTGAGTTTATAATAATAACTAATGTTGCAATTTATAGGCTTTTATAAAACAAACATCTCCTGTTGATTACTTTGAGAAAACCCGGAAACAATTTGTTCACTTAGCTCATTTGTAACTTATCGCACAATATTAAAGTTGTTTTGAGTACAACAGAATTCGGAAATGAAATATCAACGTGTTTCCCTATTTTCTAGACAATTTTATAGTTGAGTAACCTGTTTTTACTGTTCCGTTCTGAAACTTTTTCTATTCTGAAACACCGTATACTTTATGCATACTTGAATCTGTAACACATTACTCAAAAGTTGTATAGCTCTAAATATGTGTCGAACACTTTGACCGATTACCGTGCTATTTAAAATTATACTGCGATACATATTGCTACTTTTGACTTGGTATTGATCATCATTAACAGTGAGCGTGAGTTCAATCCGATCAGCGACTCATTATAAATTATTTCCTGGTTTTAAGTAGCCAGCAGGAGAGGTTTATTCGATAAAGCCTGTAAACTGTAACATTAGTTATTATTAAATAGTCAATACAATGTTTCCAAATATTACATTTATTTAGAATAAGTCCCCACAAATTCCTGGACCATTGCGGACCTACGTGGATTTTGATGGACTTTGAAAGTCCATAATGGAACCTAAGCCTTGTTAAACTCCTGAACAGTTGGAACAAATATGAATGTCTGCTTTTATTTTCCGTTTTCCAACAGGGCTTGTCCAGCTAACGTGAGACTTCATTGATTAAGTTTTTATTTTAAAACGAGACTAAACCGTTAACGTGATTTTGTAGAGCGCATTCGAAAATATAGGAAAACATACTTCGAGGTCATGTGAGTGCCTTGTCTGAGGAAGAAAAATGTTACAAACTAATTCTAAAGTACAATCTGTACGTTACATGTTTGGAAGTCGTCTTTTTCAAATTATTTTGCTCCTAAATAACTTGATCTGAATCCTTAAGGAAGAATGTACTATTATCAGTGAAGTATGGGCTTTCTTTAAATGAAATAGCGAAGCTCTTTGCTTTCTTCCCTATTAAGTTATAGTCAAAACAATACTTGATTAATACAAGTGTCACGGCATTCCGAAAACACACTTTTTTTAAAAAATTTCCAAAACAAGTAAAGAATTTCATCGAATAAACTCATATATCATAGAGAACTTTTAACGCTCTATTCAATGCACCACTTAGAGTTTTAAAAAGATTCCATCTTACGGCAGTTTTGTCGTGACGCTGTGACAAAAACTTAATCTCTTGGTGATTTTCGTAGAAAGCCAACTAGCTTTCTACCAAATATCAAGGTTACCTTTTACTATTATAAGTTAACCTTGACGTTTAGGACTTGAATTATTGCATAGATATCTACAATAACAAGAAACAACATTGACATCGATATTAAATGTGTTTTTTCCCGTAATTTTACGGTCAAAACTGTGAAACTAGTCTAAAATGTTACCGATAAGTTATTTTTCTGCTTCTTCTCCGACTCGCTTGAAGTGAAACTCAACGATTCGTGCGTATTTGGAATGAGCGTCAAATTCTACATTGAATGATGTATGATTCATCTCTTTACTATGAATGACCATTATTTTGTGTCATTCAACATTAGTGATGGGCCGAAATAACACGAAATGAATGAATCACGTAATTTTCTTGCCTATTCTGTACGACTATACTGATTTTTGTTTGTTCACGACTGCAATGCAATATACATAATGGCTTAATTTCGTAGAGGAAATGAAAACAATTATATATTTCTTTCCATATAGTCGTCAGAGAATTTCTCTTTTCTTCTTTTATTTCTGACGTACCACTTTCGGTCCATCACTATTCAACATAGTATAAATAGAGAGCGATTTACGTAGAGATTTTTGCTTTCATCATACATAAAGTAAAGTAATTAAAAAAAAGATATTAATCTTTTAATTATTTCACCGGATATTTATAACGATAAGTAACTATTTTCATTTTATTAAGTTTAAGCGTGTTGCATGGCTAAAACAGCAGCGAAATGAGCGAAGGCATATCGAGAGCGGATAAAAAAAAGATAAAGTCAAGCATGAACAAGTTAAGGTAAAAGCTCGTCAACGTAATAATTCTATTCTTAAGAAATTAACAGGTAAAGCATTAGAAAATTTCCGTGCTAATACTAATTACCGTCAAAGAAAATGTCGTTTAAAGAAACGTAAACGTTTAATTAATAATAAACCAACATCATTTCAAAATTGTCAATCTTTTGGTAAAGCTATGAAAAAAGTAACATCTGCTTTGCCAAAATGCGATAAAAAGAAGAAAGATGTTATTCAACATCTAGATCAAAAATATAATCTTGTTCCAAAACCTGTTCAACAACGTACATGTGCCAATATATCTGATCAGACTAAAAATGCGGTTCATAAGTTTTATTTAAGAGACGATGTTTCTTATCAATTACCTGGTAAACGGAGGGCTTACAATTTATTAACAAAATAATAAATTGCGCCGTTTCTAGAATAAACGGCTGACCCCCACTTTTTTCCGAATAAATGGCTATACAGTTGCTATCAGCGTTGTCTAGCATAAATGGCTCTGCCATTTATTAACCTCTGGCATAAACTGCATAGCCATTTATTACTCTCCAGCATAAACGGCTCTTTCTATTTCATAATTTGTCTGTCCGGGAGGGTTGTCTAGCATAAATGGCTAATTTCTAGCATAAATGGCTCTGCCGTTTATTAACCTCTAGCATAAACGGCATAGCCATTAATTACTCTACAGCATTAACGGCTGTTTGTATTTCATAATTTGTCTGTCTGGGACGGTTGTCCAGCATAAATGGCTCTGCCATTTATTAACCTCTGGCATAAACGGCATAGTCATTGATTACTCTCCAGCATAAACGGCTCTTTCGCTTTGATAACTTGTCTATCCGGGACAAATTAGGGGTCGAAACGTTTCATTGTCTTAAATAGATGTTTTAAATATTTTTACACTGTTTTAATAAAATACGAAATTACAGTGTTAAGTCCGGTATACGTTGTTGAGTATAAGTACTTTATTACTGAACAAGATGATCTTTACATAAAATTAGGAGCTATTTATACCTGAGGTTAAACGGAAACGGTGGGTTATAACCCAGAGCTAAA